ACATTTTACAATTAACTTCATAAGTTAGTCACAGATGATCTAAATTTTATCATATAACAACATATCTAATATAAAATAGCTATTGTACAAACTTGTTTTTCACTCTTTTTGACACAATTATCTTACCCCTTGAAATACATTTTTTTGTCAATACACTCCCACCAATAAAATAAAGAAAACAAATCTAAAACAATTTTTTGAAAACCATAAAAGAGAGATCCCAATGAATATTTTTACCCCAATTTGCGTGTGAGAGAGAGAGAAATAAAAGGTAGATTACATCATTAATCTTTTTAATTTGAGTAAAATTTCACTTTAATCCTCATAAAATTAGTCCCTACACTTCAATTTTTGGCACTATAGAGCAGCCCATGACCTTAAGCCTCTACCAACACTAGACTAGTATACCAGTTACCAACTATGTTGATCAAACTTTCGTTGGACTTTTAACATTGAATGGGCTTACTTGTCAGGTGTTGAATTCATATTAAGATATAATAAGAATTAAAATTTATAAATTTAAATTAGAAATACTGAGACAAATAGAATCCCTCTAACACTAGGGCCAAGGCCTCTTCTGATAATTTGACTGATGGACTAATCCTCCCCACTGAGCCCAGCCCATCTATGTGACTCATATAGGCCCACTTGCCAACCAATGGGTTTGGCTTAGTGAAAGGGCTTACCACCCAAAGGGCTACCCACTTAAGAGATTCTAAATTCGAAACTCACAAAAGCCAAATATCTTAAATCTTGAGGTCACTAAAAGTTTGTCCAGTCATTAACTACAAGATCCAGAAATTTAGTCAAAATGCACATAAAATGAATTAGATACCAGATTATAAAAAAATATACATGTTTAAGCTCACGTCCCCATGGGTGCCTCTATTTACCCACCATCTTTCATTTCAATACACACCACTACTCAAGGCACACTTCTAGTAATTTAATAATAATAAATTTGCTTAATATGCACCATAATGTTCTATTTTTATCCCTAGTCACACACCCCCACCACCACCTGTAACCCAACTCCGTCGACGGTGATGGTGTAGTCCCTCTCTCTTCTCCTCTCTTCTTCGTCACCGGTACCGCCACTCACCAGTCCCCTCCTTTCTTCCTCACTGGCACTGTCTCTGCCCCTGGAACAAACCTTGGTCACTATAGCGATACCCCATAGATTGAATGACTAAAATTGGAAGCATTATAGTAATAATTAACAATCAAACCCTTCAAAAATCCGTAATACAGAGGTGAAACCTCCAAATCATTTTCCACAACAAAGGCAAACTCGTCATCCGAACTCGGCTACCATAACTCCAACCACAGCGCTTGCAACCCTACATTTCCAATCCAGTAAAGCACTAATTTTCACCGAATTCCCAAACAAACCCATCAACAAAATCCAGAAGTCGACGCGATTCACTCAGTTTTGCATCAAAATTATCAGCTAAATTGTTCGTGATTTTGAAGTGGTCAATGAAGATGTGAAGATTGACCCTGTCATTGTGGTAATGAGCATTGGAGAGAGATCCAAGGCAGCGAGAGTGAGAGAGAGGTAATGCGATCAAAGGCGAGGACTTTGAAAGCACAGCGCTTGCAACCCTACATTTCCAATCCAGTAAAGCACCAATTTTTCACCGAATTCCCAAACAAACCCATCAACAAAATCCAGAAGTTGATGCGATTCACTCAGTTTTGCATCAAAATTATTAGTTAAATTGTTCGTGATTTTGAAGTGGTCAATGAAGATGTGAAGATTGACCCTGTCATTGTGGTAATGAGCATTGGAGAGAGATCCAAGGCAGCGAGAGTGAGAGAGAGGTAATGCGATCAAAGGCGAGGACTTTGATGGTGAGAATGAAATTGGTATTGGTATTGGTGTGATTAGGTAAAATGGGAGTGGTACAGTGGTTTTGGTTGAGGAAGGAGGTGGTTTGGAAAGGCTGAAAATTGAGGTAGTGAGAAGTTGTAGAGAGAGAAGAGGAAGAGAGATGAGAGAGAGATGGAGGAGTTGCGGTGGTGGTGGTGACCACGGCTGTTAGGATTTCATGAAAGATGATGAGGGTAATTTAGATATTTGATTGAGGGATATAATTGTAATTATATTTTTTTTTTTTAAAATGGTGTGTCTTGAGGTGAAAGTTGGTGTATAAATAGAGGCACTCCGTCCCCATGCGTATCTTCATTTGCAAATGCAGGAGGGTTATCTATTATTTACATAGATTCATGCTCATACTTGCAATAAAAGAGGGATCCTCCATGCTCATGCTCATTGAAACTATTTAATACAATTTATTATTAGCTTTAGTTAAAAGTTAACAATCAAATATAAAAATAAAAAACACCTCACTCATTCTTTAAGATAACAATTTTTTCCATTTATTTAAATTATTTCAACCTAATAAATAAAAATTACACTACATAATCTCTCAAAATAAATATCAAAAAAATATGTATAAACCACACTAAATCAACCCCAATATATATATATATATATAGTGTTCCTAAACGCACGATGCTTGTGCAAAACATACTCCATGTAGAATCATATTCTCTACAATACTTTCTTGCAATATGAATATGAACGAAAAAAAGTTCTGAAGTTTATAAATTATTCCTCCTTTTTTCCATCAAATTAATTTTCACCCAATTTTTTGTCATTTCCCTCGTAGTTTTAAAGTCCCAAAAAAATATGAAAAATTTAATATTTCGGAGATATTAATTTGTGATTATATTTCAATTTTAAACAATGAATAACAATTCTAAACAATCAAAAATAAATCGATACAACGATTTAACGTAAAAAAAAAAAAAAAGAAAAACACAATTAGAGCACCTCCAATTGTGATAAAAAAAACTACGGCCCAAAACTACAAAACAATCCACTAAGAAGACAAAAACGAATTACAAAATATTACTCTCAATTATTTAGCGAATCTACACCCGAATTGAACCAAGCCTGATGTGCCTCTTCCAACACCGTCTCACCATGGAACTGCTTTGCCCAATATTGAATCAACAACACCGATATCAAATCAATGACGATGAGCCACTCTGAAATTCATCAAAGCTTCACGTCCAAGTTTCCTGGAACCCACTGAAGAACACCTTTCTCTTTGTGTATAAAATATAAAGACAAACCCCTTGATGATATCAATATAAAGTTTGTTGATTCATTGATCAGTCTCAAATTATTAAGGAAATACTTATAAAATACACTCCAATATATCACACTTTGCTTTTTCTTTCTTTCTAAAAATCTGGACGGGTTAAACCCTAAAAATAGCGAATGGCACACTTTATAGAAAATAGGATCGCGAAGGTTACTCGAGCGCACCCTTCATCACTCATGCGGTGTGAGTAAAGACAGTGCAAAACATATAGGCCGATTGCTCGAGCGCACATTACACTGCTCGAGCGATAAAACTTGCTTCTCAAAAGTTCAATTTGCAGGCAAAAATACTAGATACTCCTATTCACCGCTCAAGTGCACAAATGGCCGCTCAAGCAATCAAACAACTTTGACAAACAACTTAATCCCCGTACATAGTCAATGAAGTGGCAAATATAAAAACCTCAATATCACTATATAGGTACATTTCGGATTATATTTGTATCTAAATACTCATATCCTCATTGAAATATAAGAGTGAATAAAGTTACAACTGAACGAAATTTTGTTAAACGAAATTGTCAATTATAAAAATCTAACAAAAGAGGTTTGAGAATGTTTTTCCTTTTTGTGTTTTCTTTTTCTTGATTTCTTTCTTATTTTCCTCATTGTTTTTCCTTTTCTCTTGAAATTTTCTTTTCCTTTATTATTTTCCTTCTTCTTTGCCCTTCCCTTTGAACAGAATCATTCAAAACAGAAGGGAACAAAAGACATTTAACATTTTATTTTATTTTATCTTTTTTATTTTTTTTTTCTTAAATAAAGTTGATGAGATATGAGATTCGGAAAAAAAAATTATGCAATGGGCACTATTTCTCAAATGATAAATTTCTTTACCATTAATCATAGATTTAAATAGGAATATAAAAAAGAAAGAGAAGTGGTGGGTGAAACCTTTTCCCCACCAATCCTAAGGGCTGGCGATGTGCCCCCTCTTAAATATAAACAATTTCTTAGCACAGGTTGCAAAACAAATTGGAAATGAGATCACTGTGTTAAAAACACAATAGGGACTGTTATATCTCAATTTGAGGTGTATTATGTACTTATTTTTATGATTTGAATTTTCATTTTGTAAAATTTGTTAAATATTTTATGCCTATCAAATATCAAAAATCATATTAATCGAATATTAATAACCAAAAAAATAAATAATGAGTTGTTTTTTTTTGTTGAGAAATAGCATAAAAAATATGTAATTCGATCATATAATTATTGATATTCGATTAATATAATTTTTGATAGGCATAAAATACTCAACAAATCCTACAAAATGAACATTTCGGATCATAAAAATAAACTCATAATATACTTCAAATTGTTGTGCCTCTAGCATAGCAATGACCCCGTCTCTAAAACAATTTCTTAAGACTAGTACATACAGACTTTACCCCAACTTTATAAATGGGCCCTCACTGGTAGACGATAAGATTAGACTCCCAAATTTATTCTGTTCATAGGACTGGATGCCGAGTTATTAAAAAAAAAAAAAAACTTTTCCCCACCATCTTCCCATTTCCTTTCTAAATAGCTATCCAATTTTATGATTTAGGCATAAAATTAATAATATGTTTTGTTAGGAGATTTAAAAAGAGATTTAGAAAGAAAAATATATGAAATATAAATAAAATATACCTACATTTCACAAAATTTTACATACTTTTTTTCTTTTTGTTTCTAAATTTCTTCTCAAATTCTCTAATCAAACACAACGTAAAGCATGCAATACTTAAGAGTTACACATCATATACAACCTAAATATTAGGCCTTAGATTACAAGGAATTGATCAGCACTATTGAATTAGAGTATTCCTTCTTTCCTTCGTCACCATAAACAGAAGAGAAACATTTCATTAATATTTTTCTTAATTTATATATGTCACATCATCTGTAGACATTACATTCACACCCACACCGATAACATCTCATAACACTAAGCAAGATTTTATTTCTCTCCCTCCCACCACACCAATCTCTATTGGCCTCTTATTTGTAGCTCTCCTCAGAGTCAAACCGACCTGCAAAGAAATAACAACACAAACGAATGCTACGCCAATCAGTTCATTGCACCACATTTTACGTTATTATTGTATTAAATCAAGAAAAATAATTAAGAATTCTATTAATTTTTTTTTTTTTTTTTTTAATGATAATGGGAATAGACTCCACAACAATAGTGATGTTTGTGTTTTTTTTTTTTTTTTAATTTCATTTTTTTACTAAAGTGTATAAAGTTTTATTTAAAATTCTATTTTTAAAAGATATATCATTTCCCTTAAATAAATGAGTGTCATCACATATTCTCATTAACAATAAGTAGTAACACATTACATTACACAACATACAAAATGTAATAAAATAATATCCTTGCCACATCATTATGATCCTGTGTACCAATAGAAAATAAATAAATAATAAAATTATAACTAACATCAAAATAATTTATAATCAAATATCCTAAATACCATAACAAGATCATATAATAAAAGAGTATTTATTATAAAATTTTTCATATAAAAAGTGAATGGTTGGGTTTGACTTTTCTTTTTCATAATGAAAAAGGTTATCCTTCTAGGGTCGAATATGAGGGGTATAGAAGACCACAAAAATAAAAATAAAAATAAAATAAAAATAATAATAAATGATATTTATCATTAAATTTTATTTTCAAAACTATTGACATATATATATATATATATATAATAGGTGCTGTTATGGTGTGCAACCCTTAAGGCTACAAACCATATGCAACCAACACAAAAGGTGTAAATAGAAGGTGTAAACATAAAACAGGACAGCAAACAAAAAAAACGTAAGTATAAGGAGTAAGTTGTACACTTAAAAAAAAAAAAAAAAAGTCGGAACTGAGGAGCCTGCTGTGTGCTGTGACTTTCTTTGTAAAATTCTTTTTGTTCTGAAAAAAAAAAAAAAAAAAAAATTGCCGATAAAAATAATAAAATATGATCCGATTAGGAAGCTCAGGTCAATTATTTTATTTTTTATTATCAAAATAAAATCGATAGAATTAGTAGTCACCATCCACAGATCCGAGTAAACAACTACGATTTAAATGACTCACACTACGTCCACCAAAACGTTCAATAAAACCCACAACAAAAGCAAGCAAGATCATATAATTAAATACTACACAATTCATTTTTACTCGTTTTGTATCCAAATAACAATTCTACATCTATATATATATATATACATACGATACAAATTCACATCAAATTTAACATATATGCATATATATGGGTGTATATATATATATATTACCTTCGAAGTAGTGTAGGGGAAGAAGTATAAAGCGAGCGAGCGATCTAATCGCTATCACTGTCGCTGCTGTCATGACCATGGTGCTCGTGTCCATCCTCGTGCTTCTTCTTCTTCTCCTTCTTCTTCTTTTTCTCACCTTTCTCCTCATGACCATGATGATCACCACCACCATGGATCTTGCTCATGAACCCTCCTTCCTTGTGTTCATCTCCGTGGTGCTCCGATTTGTGCTTTTCTCCTTCAGATTTGTGCTTTTCTCCTTCGTAGTGTTCGGATTTGTGCATATCGCCATGGTGCTCTCCCTTGTGCTCACCTTCCTTGTGTTGCTTCTCGCCTTCCTTTTGGCCTCCGATGTGGAGGGTCTCTCCTATCTTGTGTATGATTCCTGCCATTTTCTCTCTTTTTTTCGCGCTAGAAAAATGGATGGGAAATTGGGGATCTGAATATGATCGATTGGATTTGTGAAGAGAAATGCAGTTCCAAGGGCTCTTATTTATAGAAGCTAAAAGCAGGAAGAAGAGAGAAGTAATTACCAGAAGAGAACGTTATCCTTGGAATGGGATGAAATTACTTTAATGCCCTCAATGCGTGTACCCAGCGTGTTGTAAGATGACTAGTGTCAGTCATGGGAATCGCAATGGTCCCACCTGCTCTGCTACTTTTAGGGTGAAAATTAACAAATAAATATATCAAAGACATTTACGTACTAAGTTATGAATTTATAATTTATTAAATTTTAATTAAAAAGTTTTAGATTTTTAAATCTATTGAATTTCTAATAATTAAAATTATATTTCAAATAATGATTATTTATGATTGTTTATAAATAGAAAAAAAATTAATATTTATTTTGATTTTCAAAAATTTTTAAAATACTAACTTTCAAATTGAATAAACTTAAAAAGAATTTATGCTTAAAAAAAAAGAATAACTTCTTTTTTTAATTTGAAATTTTTTTTTTGTGTAAAATTGAAAATTTATGACTCTAAAGAAGTATGATTATGGAACATTGATGTGCAAAAAAAAAATTAAAAATTAAAAAATTGAAAATATTCTCAATTTTAAAATTGAAAAAATTAATAATGTTCTCGATTTTAGTAAATAGTTGAATCAAACTTAATGTGCAACAGTGATTTAGACCCCCTCAAACTTCAATCCCCACCACCCCACACACACATATAGCAGGTGGTGATTGGAGGAGAAGAAAAAAAAGAAGAAAAAAAAAAGTGACCAATCAAAAAAGAAAGGGGTCAAAGGGGTGGGGGAAAAGGGGGTCCCAATCTTTATTTTAAAATGTGTAAGTTAAATACAAATTATCGTAAATTCATGAAAACTTACATAATTACGTGAATTTATATTCAACTTCCACATTTTAATGAGATCATTTATGTAAATTCATAAAAATTTATATGATTTTATAGTGAAATTGCATATGATATGCAATTCACACGGAAAAAATTTTCGCACAAAACCTATATCATATGACACACCCTTATTTCAAAAAAAAAAAAATTTCCCCAGCATCTTTTCATTTCCTTTCTGTATAGTTATTCAAATTTATATTCAGACACAACATACATTAAGGTGTACACATCATATGTAACCTAATTATTAGGCCTTAGATTACGAACAATTCATCAGGACCATTGAATGAGCGTATTCCTTCTTTACTTCATCACCATAAACAGAAGAGAAACATTTCATTAATATTTTTCTTAATTTATATATATCACATATCATCATATGTAGACATTACATTCACACCCACACTGATAACATCTCATAACACTATTAGATATTGAAAGCAGGATTTTATTTCTCCCCCTCCCACTACACCAATCTCTATTTGCCTTTTATTTGTAGCTCTCCTCAGAGTCAAACCCACCTGCGAAGAAATAACAACACACAAATCAATGCTATGCCAATCAGTTCATTGCATCACATTTCACATATATATTATCTCATACGTTATTATTGTATTAAATTAACGAATTTCATCACAGATTCTCATTAACAATATAGTAACACATTACATTACATTACATAATATACAAAATGTAATAAAATAATATCATTGTCACATTATGGTCATGCTACTATATACATCCTGAATACCAATAGACAAGGTACGAAATTTAATTAAATTATTTTTTGTTATAATTAAAAAATAAATAATGATTTTAATCAAATATTATATATATTTTCAATCATAACTAAAATAATTATTACAATAGATACATCACAATCACAATAAATAATAATAAAATTATAACTAACGTCAAAATAATTCATAATCAAATATCATAAGATAATATAATAAAGGGTGTTTATTATAAAAAAAATTCATATAAAAAGTGGATAGTTGGGTAAACCTTTTCTTTTCTTCATAATGAAAAAGGTTAGAGGGAGCCACAATAACGTGACAAAATTTACAAATTCAATCCTTTTAGGGTCGAACATGAGAGGCATAGAAGATCACAAAGATAAAAATAAAATAATAAAAATAAAAATAAAAGGTATTACTATTGACATATATATATATATATATATAATAAAACACTGTAAAAAATTAAGATTTTACAGATCAAAATTTAGGGACAAAATTATTTTTTATGAATCAAATATTTTTATTACGAAAAATGCCGTTATTATATTTTTAACAACAAAAATTAGACATTAGTGATGAATTATTATCCTTTTGAGACCAAATTTTTTGTCTCAAAAAATAACCCCTTTTAAATTATTTTCTCTTTAAAAGTTTTTTTATTAGTAACATTTTTTAAATTTTGTTACTTTTTTAAAATTTTGTCGCTAAAAATTTTGTTTTGGATTTTTCGGAACGATTTTTTAGCGACTATTCTTGTGACGATAAAAATTAGTCTCTAAATACTTTTTGTAACAAAATTTTTATTTTTAAAGACCAAAATATTTAATTTCTAAAACTCTTATTTGTTAGAGTGAAATAAAGTCAAATACATTTGTAAAGTAAACAGGAACTGAGGAGCCGGCTGTGTGCTGTGAGCTCGTGGGCCGTTTTCTCAATACGCCGAGTGGATCATTCACAAAAAAAAATTAAAAAAAAATCAAACCAATTAGACATAGATATCTCATAACAAGATCAGTTTTTTTAAAAAGTATAATTAGCATAATTTTGATAATTTTTTTTAAAAATAATTATGATATGATCTTATTGTAACTTTCTTTTTGATCTCAATAAAATTTTTCTTTCTCAATCAAAAAAAAAAAAAAATAATCTGATCATGAAGCTCAAGTCAATTAATTTTATTTTTTTATATAGATGATATATCCGACGAACCAAGACAGTTGGAATGATCAAAATAAAACAACCGGCATGTCACAGCAGGGTGCTGTGATAGCGCCCTCCACAGGTCCGAGTAAACAGCTACGATTTAAATGACTCACACTGCGTCCACCAAAACATTCAATAAAACCCATAACAAAAGCAAGCAAGATCATATCATATCATCAAATCTTACACATTCATTTTTACTCGTTTTGTATCCAAATAACATTTCTAAAATCTACATACATGTATATACATACAATACAATACAATACAAATTCACGTCAAATCTAACCAATAGCCATATATAACTATTACCTTGAAAGAAGTGTACTGGAAGAAGGATAGAGCGAGCGATCTAATCGCTATCACTGTCGCTGCTGTCTTTACCATGGTGCTCCTGTCCGTGCTCGTGCTTCTTCTTCTCCTTCTTCTTCTTCTCACCTTTCTCACCACCACCATGGATCTTGCTCATCAACCCTCCTTCCTTGTGCTCACCTCCATGGTGCTCCGATTTGTGCTTCTCTCCTTCAGATTTGTACTTTTCTCCATCGTAGTGTTCGGATTTGTGCATATCGCCATGGTGCTCACCTTCCTTGTGTTGCTTCTCGCCTTCCTTTTGGCCTCCCATGTGGAGGGTCTCTCCGATCTTGTGCACGATTCCTGCCATTTTCTCTCTCTTTTTCTCGCGCTAGAAAAATGGATGGGAAATTGGGTATCTGAATATGATCGACTGGATTTGTGAAGAGAAATGGTGGTCGAAGGCCTCTTATTTATAGGCGCTAAAAGAAGGAAGAAGAGAGAGCAAAAGAAAATATCAGAAGAGAACGTTATCCTTGGAATGGGATGAAATTACTTGAATGCCCTCAATACGTGCATGCGGCGTGTTGTAAGATGACAAGCGTCAGTCATGGATTCGCATTGGGCCCACCCTGTTCTGCTACGTTTAGGGCGAAAATTAACAAATAAACAAATCAACAATGGTCTATTTGAGTTAAAAGTCCGTTTTTTATTATTTTTTATTTTTTTAAATTATATTATTTTTTATTTTTTAAATTGTTTTTTAAACTTAAAAATTAAAAATTAAAAAATTTACTTCTTACTTACTTTTTAAAATAGGCCAATGTTACATCCACTAAATGACCAAAAATATTAGTTAGTTTGCAGTACCACGTGATTATATCTCAAGTCAATTACAAATTTTTATATCTTTTCATATTTTTCAATCATTTCACACAAATCATGGGTCTTACCCTCTCTCTCTATTAATCGCAATACATGTAGAGCGTCATGTAACGCTATCCCTAAACCAATCAATTCTTCTAAATAACCCTTAATGATGTGATATTGAAGACACATCACACATCATTAAAAATAATTTTTAAAGATGATAAATTAAGTATTTCAAATATTTTTCTAAATCAATTTCATCTTCTCTTTTTTCTTTTTTTTTTCTTTTTTATACCTATCTTTGTCCTAATCTAGATGAAGTGTGGTTGTGCCCCGGAAAAAGATAGGAGAAATTATTAATTTAGGGTACGTTTTAAAAAGATATAACATATTAATGAAAAAGTTGATGATATTAATTTAATTATTAATATTTATAATTTTTTTATTTTTTTTGAAATTGTAATTCCATCAAAAAGATACTTATCAATTCCTAAAGGACAAAAAAATTTAAAATGGAAATATATATTTTTAAAAAATGATTATGTGCGTTATAATTATAATATGAATTAGTAAATAGCATTTTTAGTGATATAATAGTTTTATGACAAATTTACACCGACTTCCCTTGAAATTTAGAAGGAAAAAAAATACACTAAAGTTTCATGAGTTTTGTTCGGTTAAAATTTAATTTACATAACACTTATTTTATTAATAATTTGTTAGTCATATAGATTAAAAAAATTATATTGTTATATCTTTTACATTGAAATATATATTTTATTTTATTTATTTTTTGTATTTTTACACAATTTACATCAATTTTGGTTCATTTAATTTTATTAAAAAGAAGGTTAGTTCAATTATACCAAATTATGAGACTTGATGTATATTTTTTAAATTTCGGGAGAGATTAATATAATTTATCCCATTTTTATTGTAATGGAAGTATACTTCATATAAATTTATACATATCTTTTATTATCATTGTGTGAGCTAAATAAATTTAAATGCAATCGGCAAATAAGGCATATGGGCCCATCCATTATTATAAGCCCAAATCCAAACAATTCGCTCGCCAACCAAGCAACATGTCGAATAAGAGATACCGGTAGAATCGGGTGGCACCTTTACCGAAAACTAAAGTGGGCTCAGGCTGTCCCATTCCGAAGGTATAGTAAGAAACTAGGCCTTGACATTCAAGTAATAATACAAGTAGGCCAAGTTGTGGAGGAAATATTTACACCAAATGGTTATATAAGGAAGGTGAGTAGAAAAAGAAAGGTATGTAAGATCAACCAACTAAACTCTGTCTTTGAAATATTTTACCCATTCTCTCTCAGACTGTTTGTACCATATTTTATTTTTCTGTCGATTATGGCCTATTAATTATGGGCAAATTCAATTATGGTCTGTCGATTGAAATCATAGACTATCTTTAAAGAATAACACTGGTCACATTTGTTATTCTTATTATTATTTCTGTCGATAGGCATGCTGACATGGCATGACAAATGTGTTAAGGATGTGGCATGATGTGACATGATGACATGTTAAGTAGAGGGTCAGAAAGTTAGCCATTGCAACCATTTGAAAAGTAGTTGTTGAGATTAAGGAGCCACGACTAAGTCAATGCACAAAATCTGCAAGTAGTTCCTATGAAGATAGGATATGATTGAGGGGAGCAAAGATCATGGATTGATAGCTACAACATGAGGTGACCAAGCAAATATAAAAGGAGGGCTTGAGGAATGAAAAGGAAGACATTTTAGAAATACTAGTTTAACTTAGCATTTTAGAAGTAGATTAAACTAATAGATTTCTCCAACCCCCACTTCTCTTCTTTTCTTCTGTCGATTGCTGTATTTCCACAATTTTTTGTTCTTGTGTAAGTTCTTGTGACTAGTGATAAGTAATAATTCATTCGAATTAATACATATTTTTTTCTGTTCTATCTTTTCTTCGCCTAATTACCTCTAGGGAACTCTTTAATCTGTTTAAAACATAGAACTCAACCCCAAAAGTCTGATCCTTTTTGTGTTTCTTAAAATTGGTTTGAGCCTGTTAATCAACTCACTGTCGATTGGGCTTGAACTAGATTTTTACCAACACATACCTAATCTAATTTAACTGTCAAAGTATTAATTCTGACACCCTGACCATAGTGTTTCTTGTTTCAGGTATCAGAGTAAGGATCAAGTAAGAGACTGTTTGAAACGAAATAGTATTATAGAACCACTCCTCAGCATCATCTAGTAATAGAAGTGTGATACAATGAAGTTCTCAATTTATCAGCCAAAAAAGAAAAGAAAAAAAAAAAAGTGATATAGCTCTAGGTTTTGACGTGTCATTTTTCATTAAATACTAACGCCTAATGAGAGGTCATATTAAAATGTAATTTGAAGTTAAGTTAAAATTGATGAAATTAAATTATGAGAAAATTTTATTAAAACAATAAAGACAAATAATGTAATTTTTTCTATTATATTATTTGTGTAATTAAAACTAACCAATTTGAAAAAAATGAGCTATATTTGAAGACACTAAACTTTTTGCAATTAAGACACAATGGGGCTGTTTGGTGTGGCTTATTTTAGCCAATTTATAGATTCTAGTTTTGAAAAAATTATTTTGAATTGTTTGGTTAAACTTATTTTAAACAGCTTATGATTCTAGCAACTTATTTTAATTCAAAAAAGCTGATTCAGAGAAGCTGCTTATTCCTTACTTATGATTATCAGTTTCTGCTGTGGACATGTTAATTTAAGGTTATACTCTTAGATTTTTTTATTTTTTATTTTTTAAAAAATAGAAAAAGACCCAAATGGACTATGGATTATTATTATTTTTTTTATGGAAAATGTAGACAAGTAATAAATAACAAAAAATAAAAGTTAATTCAAAAAGTTATTTCCCAGTTTATTTAACAAACACTACTCAGCTACTTAAATCTATAATCCAACAGTTACACCAAACAGATTAACAGTTTCTGATTAAAATCATAATTTATAATCGATTAAGTTATAATTTATAATCTGTTTTAAAAATTACATCAAAAGGGACCAATATGAACTACAAAAATGGTTACCATGAACCCGCAACGAGGTTGATTCATTGGTCAAAATCTTTACAATTCAGTAGAAGATAAAAAGTTCAAATTTTTTGACCTACATGCTTTTGAGTTTATTCGCAATGTATTTCTTTGAGTTTCTCCATCATTTTCGTGTGTAAGTTCTAATTATTGAAGTTCATTGTAATATAATATATTAATAAAAATAAAATGGTCTCCTATATCAAAGAAGAGTTCAATTGCTTCATTTGTTTTTGTTTTTGTTTTTATTTTTGTTTTTTGACTTTAAGAAAATAATAAATATTTTTATGTTATCCAATTAATGAAGAACAAATGGGAAGTTCAAGCACGTGATAGTTTTTTTCTAACTAACAAAAAGATGTTTCTAAGAAACAAATAAATTTTAAATAGGCTTATTAATTTCAATTTTGAATCAATTCACATCAATCAAACAATGTAGTTTTCCAGTTTGAATCAATATAAACGGAAATATTACTAACAAGTCCTATTTTGCTCTCAGTATTACAAGTGAATCCAATAAAATTTCAATGTGAACAATTAAGTCCTATTTTTCTTAACTTGTTTAAAAAAAAAAAGTTTAATTCTCTATGATAACATATTTTATTTCAAGTTTATCCTTTACATTGAAATATGAATAATAATTTTATTACAAAAATTATTTACTTAAAAACATTTTTTAAATTTAAATAATAAGTTCTAATAAACACAAGTATAGGCATGAGATTCATCATTTTATGTTATCTCACACACAGGAAGGGAAAAAAAAACCCAAAAAAAAAAAATTGCCATAGTATTTTTTTTTCAGAATTCTTTTAGTAAAATATTAATAAAAATAGGCATTTTCGACTGTTTGCCAAATATATTTTTCATAGTGCTAGCAACAGAAAACCATAAATTGTATAACATAATTCTTTTGATTAAATTGTTATTTATGATTTTGTTTAATATAATTTTTTTAGTTTTTATAATTAAAATGATTTATATAGTTGTTATTCATATATCAATAAGGGCTATTCATATTTTAATAAGAATGGTAAAATTGGAGTAAAATAGGAAGTTAGAAAAAATTTATCTTTTTGCCAATAAATTTTGGAAATTAGAATTTAATCGTCCACATTAAAATTTATTTAGATTCACTTGCAATCTAAGATTTGGTGACTTTGATGGATAATTATCTCCTGAAACACAAATGGCAATGCCCAGAGCATCATGTAGCAATGCATGAGTGGTGTTCAAAATCAATCATGAAAATTTTTACGAAGTGTATGAGTGATTTTCCGATCACACTGTCAACTTAATATTCAGCTGAAAAGTACTGGCAGAATAGATGACACCTGGCTAACCTGCAACAGAAAGAGAAGATTCCGGTGGTGGTTCGTCCATCTGGGGGCACTCAGACGATTAAGTCAATATATCTCTCAAAGATAATCAATCGTGCTAAACTCACTGTTCAGAATATAAATTGCGTACCTTAGACCTATCGGGGGTGCCTTTCTTTTATAGTTACCTCAATCCTAATCCTCATAGAAGCCTAACTTCAATGGACTTCTGCTTAGTGCTTATCCTGGACTTTCCAATAGATAAAGATAAACTCCCTAAGAGTGTTATCCTTATCCATGCTAAAGTCTTTCCTTATTCTAAGACTCTTGTGCTTTATCCGCTTATCTCAGATTTCGATATCTTCGGAGATAACCTCGGCCTTGCCAAGA